TTATATTTTTAAATTTTTTTTTCAACGTTTATTTATTTTTGGGACAGAGAGAGACAGAGCATGAACAGGGGAGGGGCAGAGAGAGAGAGGGAGACACAGAATCGGAAACAGGCTCCAGGCTCTGAGCCATCAGCCCAGAGCCCGACGCGGGGCTCGAACTCACGGACCGCGAGATCGTGACCTGGCTGAAGTCGGACGCTTAACCGACTGCGCCACCCAGGCGCCCCTGAATTATATTTTTAAAATAAAAATTAAAAAAACACCCTAAAGCCCATATACTCAAGATTAGGATTGTTAAAAAAGGTTTAAAAATATTTGATTGAGCCATAGGATATTGCTGACAGTCAACCGTCTGACCAAAAATACAATTTCCTACAGTTCAACCTAAGAGAAGAAACATTAACAATTTGCTTTTGACATACAAAATAAATTTTGCACTAAGAAGATAGCTTAAAAGCAACACAGCCTCAACAGAGAAAGGATGTGCTAAATTTGTTTATTTGACTTATCAAAGGCCAAGTAATAGGGTTTCCTTCCATCTACCTTTAAGGCCCAGTCAGAAAGCTGGAGTCATCCTCGTATGAGACATTCTAGAACCTCACCACACTGTAAGATATATGAGGGGAGAAATGAATCACCAGGGGACAGTATGGTTTCCTCAGGAGACAAAGAAGTAGATCTTTCTCCTTCTAAAATACTGTGAGGAGGATGAATTAGATAACTCCAAACAGAAGACAAATAGCGAAAAATAAAAATAGCTAATAAGGAACTAAAAATTCTGAGAATCTAAGAGACTGAACCTCACTTTGAGTTGGGGTCCAGGAAGTAAAGAAGTGGAACCACAAACAGACGCGTTCTACGAAACATAGCTGAGTTACGTGACTACTTGTGGTCTTGATGTAGAAGAAAGGACTGGGGAAGTAGACCAGTAACGCTTCCATTTATGTAGAAGAGCCTTTCTCTGGGAATATTCAAGTAATTTTCCATGTGCACATAAATGCTAGACTCAATAATACTTGCTTATTGAACTTCGTAACTGTCTCAGGAGAGTGGAAGGGCGCAGACCATAATGGCACAGGGTGTAATCCAGCCATGTGGGACCCCTCTCGGAATGGCAAATCTCTGGCACACACGTGGCAGTTCTCCCTTCCCACACCATTACAGACACTATTTACTGATCCTGCCCAGACGTTTCTACCTGAGCCAGAAGGAAGCCTCAGGCTCCTTCTCAACACAGACTCCGGCAGCCACTACCAAGTAATCCAAAGTAGAGCCAGAAATGAAGCTTCTTTTCCCTTCCTGTGTTCCTCTTCTGTGTCTTTGTTAACACCACTATCTCCTCCCATACAGTGACTCCTCACCCTGACAACCTGCTTCACCTAGCTCCCACCTTCTTCCATTAGAATGTAAATTCTTAAAGTGCTGGCCTCTTCTTTCTGTTTGTTTATGAATGCTGAAGACCCTTGGATAGTGCTTGGTACAGGGGTGGAGCCCCACAAGATATTGATGGAATGACTCTGCTTGGTCACACTCATTTCAGGGGCAGCTCACACATGACCTCTGTAACAAGCCCTTCTCAGTCCTTCCTGCCTGAAGCCACCCCTTTCTCCTCTTGATTCACAGACCCACACAGGATGAGTAACTTCTTGACCAAACTTACCACATTTGGCCTGTAGCCCCTCAATCAATGGTTATTTAATTGAATTACGAGAAGAACAGAGACCTGACCAAATGATTAAAATAATGGCACTTCTCAGGTATATGGTACTTGCACATTTTCAGATACGTATTTCATTTTATTCAACCCTATGAGTTGAATAGGACAGGAATTATCTCCTGTGGGAACACAGGCACAGAGGTGGTTTGCTCATGATTTGTTCATCTCAGAGGTAGCACCTGTCTGCTCAGTGCTGTTTCCACAAGGATGCTGCCATTTTTTGTATCATTTGCATGAGTGAGTCTATATCCACACTCTCCATTTCTACAGCTTTGCAAATATATACTAGTTATATAGTTGCAGTTAGGATACATTTTGAGTATTTAGCTAGATTTTTAAAAAGAAAAATGAATTTTTAAGCCTAATGAATATTGATATTGTAGCTCTGTTTTGTAGTTCCTAATTCGTACTGCTCATAACCCTGAGTAAATTGCTTATTCTACTCCTTTTCTTACTCTCTAAAGAAAAGAGGAGACTTTGTATTCCCCTCCCCCAGGCTCAGAATTTACCCTTAGTTTTATTTATTAATTCAGATGTAATTGACACATAACACTGAATTCGTTTCAGGCATACAGTGTAATGATTTGATATTTGTACATATTGCAAAATGATCACCAGAGTGAGTCTAGTTAATATCCACCACCATTCATAGGTACAAAAATTTTTTTTCTTATGATGACAACTTTTGAGATCTGTTCTCTTAACAACTTTCAAATATGCCATATGGTATTATTAGCTAAAGTCATCGTGCTATACATTAAATCCCATGACTTATTTTATAACTGGAAATTTGTATTTCAGGGGCCCCTGCAACTATTTCCCTCACCTCCTACCCCCTCCCAATTACCATTCTGTTTTCTGTATCTATGAGCTTGTGTTTTTATTTTGTTTTAGATTCCCTATGCAAGTGAGGTCACACAGTATTTGTCTTTCTCTGTCTGACCTATTTCACTTAGCATAATGCCCTCAAGGTCCATTCATATTGTCACAAATGGCAAGATTTCCTTCTTTTTATGGCTAAATAATGTTCCCTTGTATACATAGACCACATCTTTTTTATCCATTTATCCATCAGTAGATACGTCTCTTGTTTCCATGTCTTGGCTATTAGGTGATGCTGCAATGACATGGGAGTGCATTTATCTTTTTGAATTAGTGTTTTCATTTTCTTTGTATAAACACCCACAAGTGGAATTACTGGATGATATGGTATTTCTCTTTTTTAATTTTTTGAGCAACTTCTCTACTGTTTTTCCATAGTGCACCAATTTATGTTCCCACCAACAGTGCACAATGGTTCCTTTTTCTCCACATCTCACCAACATTTGTTATTTCTTGTCTCTTTGATAAAAGCCCTTCTAACCAGTGTAAGGTGGTATTTCATTTGGGTTTGGTTTTTGCATTTTCCTGATGACTAGTGATGTTGAGCATCTTTTGTCGTGTCTGTTGGCCCTCTGTATGTCTATGCATAGCCCATTTTTTGGTCAGATTGTTTTTTTGCTATTGAGTTGTATGAGCTCTTTATGTATTTTGGATATTAAGCCCTTATCTGTGATTTGTAAGTATGTTCTTCTATTCGGTAGGTTGCCATCTCATTTTGTTGATGGTTTCCTTTGCTGTGCAGAAGCTTTTTAGTTTGATGTAGTCCCATTTGTTTAGTTTTACTTTTTTGCCTTTGCTTTTCATGTCAAATCCAAAAAAACCATCACCAAGATTGATGTCAAGGAGCTTACCTCCTATGTTTTCTTTCAGGAGTTCTACAGTTTCAGGTCTTACATTCAAGTCTTTAATTCATTGTAAGTTAATTTTTGTGTATGGTGTAAGATAGCGGTCCAATTTCATGGACCACTGTTCTGTTTTCCCAGCACCATTTATTGAAGAGACTGTCCTTTCCCCGTTTTATATTCTTAGCTAAACTGTCATAAATGATTTGACCATATCTGCATGGGTTTATTTCTGGACTCTATTTTGTTCCATTGATCTGTGTGTCTGTTTTTATGCCGGTACCATATTGTTTTGATTACTGTAGCTTTACAATATGGTTTGAAGTAGGGAGCATGATGCTTCCAGCTTTGTTCTTCTTTCTCAAGATTGCTTTGGCTATCCAGTGTCTTCTGTGGTTCCATATAAATTTTAGGGTTGTTTGTTCTATTTCTGTGAAAAATGCCATTGAAGTTTTGATAGAGATTGGATTGAATCTGTAGATTGCTTTGGATAGTGTGGAAATTTAAAAAATATTCTTCCAATTCCACTTATTTGTGTCTTTTTCAATTTCTTTTATTAATGTCTTAGAGTTTTCGGTGTACAAGTTTCTCACCCCCTTGGTTAAATTTATCCCTTGGTATTTTATTCTTTCTGATGCAGATGTAAATGGGACTGTTTTCTTAATTTCTCTTTCTGATACTTCATTATTAATGAATAGAAATGCAACAGAAATTGTACATTGATTTTCTATCCTGCAACTTTACCAAATTCATTTATTACTTCCAACAGTTTTTTGATGCAGTCTTTAGGGTTTTCTATATATAATGTCATGTCATCTGCAAATAGTGACAGTTTTACTTCTCCCTTTCCAATTTATATGTGTTTTAGTTCTTTTTCTTGCCTAGTTGCTCTGGCTAGGACTTCTAATACTATGTTGAATAAAGGTGAGGATAGTGGACAGCCTTGTCTTCTACCTGATCTTAGAGGAAAAGCTTTCAGCTTTTCACTGTTGAGTATGATGTTACCTGGGGCTTGTCGTGTATGACCTCCTGTACTCTCTTTGTTGAGAGTTTTTATCACAAACGGATGTTGAATTTTGTCATATGCTTTTCCTGCATCTATTGAGATGACCATGCGATCTTATCCTTCATTTTGTTAATGTGTGTATCACATTGATTTGTGGTTGTCGAAGCACCCTGGCATCCCTGGAAAGAGTCCCACTTGATCACGGTGTATGATCCTTTTAATGCATTGTTGAATTTGGTTTGCTTATATTTTGTTGAGGATTTTTGCATCTATACTCATCATAGATATTAGCCTCTAATTTTTTTGTGTGGCCTCCTTGTCTGGTTTTGGTATCAGGGTAATGCTGGCTTTGTGAAGTAAGTTTGGAAGGGTTCCCTTCTCTTCTCTTCTCTTCTTTGGGAGAGTTTGAGGAGGATTGGTATTAATTCTTCTTTGAACATTTGGTAGAATTCACCAGTGAAACTATCACATCCTGAACTTTTGTTTCTTGGGAGTTTCCTTAGTTTTATTTTTGATTTCTATCAGTTTCTGTTTTTTCTTGTTTTTTTTTTTTTTTAACACCCTAAAATGGCAACTTCCCTGTTGACCAATCATTTAAGGCTAATGATCGGTATTATATTCATGATACATCTGTGTCTATCATTCTTTTTATTCTCTCACCCTAGAGGAACAGAGTGAGTTTTTTACCATCATTTGACAGATGAGAAAAATGAGGCATAAGGAAGGGAACTGACTTGCCAAAAATCATTCAATTAGTTAATGACACAGAGACTATTAAAACTCAATTCTTTTGACCCCAGGTCCTGCACTCTTTCTGCTCACACCTAATGGCCTTTGTGTGAGCTGTCTTGCAACCACGCAGTCCCAGGGTGTGCTGACAGAAGAGCTCAGACAGTAGCTCAGACTGCCTCCTCGTGCCAACCCTACAAGGACACTGAAACTCACAAAGCAATTCCCTTTCCCGTTCTGATGCCACCTCAGCTCACTCTTCACAGGAAAGGGCAGACTGTGCTAACCGGCACTGCTGCCCTGCGAAGTGAATGGAAACATCATGCAGAGATAAAGTAGAAAGCAGAAACCTCATTCCCTTGCCGCCTTGAAGCAGAGAATACAGCATCTTTGGAGGTCCTCCTTCCAAGAGTAGGTTCGCCTTCAGAATATAAATAGCAGCCTCCTTCCCATGACGCTTCTTACTCTCCAGGCAGGCACACCACATGTGCAGCGGATACGACACACGACTTGGGCTTCAATCCTGCGATCATATATATTTTTAATTCAAGTTCCATGCAATTTGGTGACTATTACCTTTAACGGGTAATTACCTTATTCAGAGTGCTCTTAACAGCCCTGTCGACAGGAATGTCAGCTCACTACAAGAGATGGGCTTGCTGAAAGCAACACAAAAAGAAGCTGAGGCAGGTTTTTCTTTTAACTTGTTTGTTAAAATTTTATGAGTAAGTCATTTTCTCCCTTGTGGGCTTTCCCTTCTAGTTTATGTGGGATCACAGCTGCCTGAATGTAAATGTGGCTGCCCAGTCTCCCTGTCATCCACAGCAGCTGTCTCAGATCCAGAGAGGCTCCCTTGGGTGGGGTGGAGGGGGGTTCCTCACCCACCCAGGAACTGACGGGGCCATGAGGGGCTGCTGGCTTCGCTGCACCCATCATCTTGGTGAGCTAACCACAGACAGGCAGGGTGCTGCTGCAGGAGAGTCAGGGTAGGCCGTGCCCTGAGACGGAGGGAGGACTTTCTGTGCGCGGTTCCCATCAGCCCTGACTGTCCATATTCATGACAGAGAAATAACAGCCCCATCAACATTGCCCAGAAGGCCGTCACGATTAGCACCAGGCTGTCATGATTCTCCACCACATATCAAAAGCGCTCTCCGGTTAGATAAGTTTGAGAAATACCACATAGACTTCACGGCTCTCCTGGAGAATCACGGCACATAGCAACACCCAGAAGACTCTGAAAACTGTCTCTTGGTGTTAGGGGTTGAATTGTGTTCCCCCCTCCCCCAGTATTCACATGTTAAAGCCCTAACCCCCAGTACCTCAGAATGTGAACTTATCTGGAAAGAGACTTATTGCAGATATAGTTAGTTACTATGAGGTCACATTGGAGTCCGGTGGGCCTCTAATCTCATCCTTACGAAAAGGGGAAATCTGGACACAGACACCCACACTGAGAGAACAACATGGGACCATGATGGCGGAGAGCAGTTTGATGCTTCCACAAGCCAAGGAATACCAAAGACGGCCAGCAAACCACCAGCAGCTAGGTGAGCAACACAGAACAGATTCTCCCTCACAGCCTCAGAAGGAGCTAACCAGACCAACACCTTGATTCAGACTCACAGCCTCCAGAACCGTGAGACGATACATTTCTGTTATTCTAAACCACCTAGATTGTGGTCCTTCCTTACAGCAGGCCTAGCGCACTAATACAGAAGGGAAGAAAACTCGCCTGCAGTCATGCAGCTAGTTAGTGGTAAAGCCAGGAAAGGAATTCCCCCTCCTGACCTTTGGAAAAGCATCATGTGTACCACACAACACCAGAGATGCTCAACGTTCATTCCTCGGCTTCTGATCCCTCTTGGAATGTGGCAAAGACATAGAAATGGGAAGGGAGATGGGAGGAAAGGTAAAGGAAAACAGGCAGGAAAACAGTGGCGCTTCCTCTCCTCTTCCTGTTCTTACAGGGCCCTCTTTCATCGAAATTAAAGTGGGGGCACGTGGGTGGCTCAGTTGGTTAAGTGTCTGACTCTTGATCTCAGCTCAGGTCATGATCTCACGGTTTGTGGGTTTGAGCCCTGCATCGGGCTCTGTGCTGATGGTGTGGAGCCTGCTTGGGATTCTGTCTTTCCTTCTCTCTGACCCTCTCCTGCTTGTGCACACACGGGCACTCTCTCTCTCTCTCCCTCAAAAATAAACTTTTTTAAAAAAATTAACATGATATTGGTAGTAATAGCTAAATTTCATGAGCACTTACTATGTGCCAGGCATGGTTCTAAGATGTTACATACATTACCTAACCCTAACAACGAGCCCGATACTGCTATTATCCCCATTGTACAGACAAAGAAGCTACAGCAAGGATTTTTAGATGACTTGTCCGATGTCACACAGCTAATCAGTGATGGAGCCAGAATCTGGTTCTAGGCAGCCAGTCTCCAGAACCCAATTCTAACTACTTTGCTATCCCCTTCGATACCTTCAGATCATGTAGAGAGAAAGGGTCTTTGCAACCTGCAGTCAGGCAAAGCCTTTAGCTTTTCCAAAGCTGAAACCCCAGTAAAGCCTCTAAGTGAATGTTAAAAAAAAAATTTTTTTTTAATGTTCATCAATGTGTCCCAGTGTTTTTCCAGAACTTAAGCTTTATAGAAAAAGAATGTTTTGATTACTTCTATTCTGGGCATCAAGATACGGTCAGTTTTATTCAAGTACTTTGTATATTCAGTTCTATCTGATCGTGTTCCTTTTATAGAATTTTGCTCTGAGGATCTCTGTTTCCTGTACAAGGAGCATGCTGGATTAAAGGCCTCAGTCAGGAGGCAAAAGATATGAGTCTTGGCATCTTTCTACATTACAGCAGAACCATACTGTGAAATTTCCACTTGCCCTGCCTCTTTGACTCAAGGCAAATGCTGAGCCGTCAGCACTGGTGTCACAGTTAAAACAAACTGCTGGCTTTTTCTAGGGCGGGTTTGATTTCAAGGGTCATTGTCAATGCACCTGCCAAAGGTTGAATCACACTAAGGCTCAAAAGTAGGATAACCATAGTATGCTTCATTTTAGGCAATTAAATACAGCTATACATTTTTCATAGGTTACTAACCAAACTATTTCCATGGAAGCTTCAGTTTTCTTTTTTTTTTTTTTTTAATGTTTTATTATTTTTGAGACAGAGAGAGACAGAGCATGAACGGGGGAGGGTCAGAGAGAGAGGGAGACACAGAATCCGAAGCAGGCTCCAGGCTCTGAGCTGTCAGCACAGAGCCCGACACGGGGCTCGAACTCACGGACTGTGAGATCATGACCTGAGCCGAAGTCGGACGCCTAACCGACTGAGCCACCCAGGCGCCCCGCTTCAGTTTTCTTAATATTACCCATTTGTGCCTGAGTACAAACATTGGTTTCATTTTCCTGCTAGGTACATGAGTATTAGGGACCAGGTAGAGAAAAGTTACAGAGATTAAAGAAATAGTCTGCAAGAATTTACAATACCCTCTCCTGAAGACTGAAGAATGTGATTTAAAACCTCAAAGGTTTTTTGCTTGCCCTGAAGCAAGCAGCCACTGTCATAATTTAACTGGAACCTTTTATTATATTAGTCATTAACTTTAAAAATGCAAATCTGAATATACCCAACAACTAACAATCTTTCTTCTTGGCTAAAAGGCTTATTTCTAGACTCTCTGAACTTTCTCTTCCGTATTTTTTTCTTAGCTTATCAGAACATAAAAATGAATGCTCACATTTTTCTTAAATCGTGATTTTCCACATATGCCCCAAAATGCATCCTATTTGTATCAGAATCTCAGAATGCATTGTTTGGAAGAAAAGAAGGAAAATGGAATTCCAAAAAATAGCCTTTGTCCGTATTTTCTAGTTTGGGTTTAAGGTGTGAACTGGCTGGTACCAGACCAAAGCCAAAGAGGGATGTAGATCCAGTGGACATAAATCTAAATGTATTCCTAACAACATCAAAGCTTCATTGTGGTGAACATCATAGACACGAAAGACTAGGAAGTAAGTCACCTCTGTGAGTCCAAAGTCACCCAGGCTACAACTGAAACGCATGCGCACACTAATAAGAAATTATTTGGAGATATGGCACTTTAGCCTATTGCCATGACTATAATGCCAAACAGCAAATTTTTTAAACCATGCCCCAAACCTGTGCTACCAAGGTACCTACGGGTCTCCCCACCCCCACTGCCAGTTCCATCCTCTTCCTCAGGCCCTCCTCCCAACCTCTGGCAAAGCCATCCTGTGTCTGAAATACCCTGAGGTCCTAGTCCAGGCACAAGACCCCCCTGACTGCTCCCTCTTTTACTCAGGTCAGCGTAAACCCGTGGTTCCCGCCAAGCAATGTGCTTCAGAATCACCTTCCAAGCCTCCCCCTCTCCTGGGCCCCACCCCTAGGATTTCTGATACCTAGGGTAGGAGAGGAGGTGCCAAGAAGGTGAATTTCTAACAAGCTCTGGGGTGATAGGAATCTGCTGGCTCCAGGACCACACTTGGAGACTCTCTGCTCTTAAACAAGAAAGTGCCGCTATCATGTCCCAGATATTTATACTGACATTTAAATGGGTTTTTGTTTCATTGTCTATTTCCCCTGTGCCTGGTCTCCTACTTTACAGCACAGGGACTGTAAGGATCACATTGGGTGGTTGGGCTGTTAGACGGGAGGGTAACTAATTTCACGTTGTACAAAACAGTGACAGGCTTTTACAGCAAGGGGAACAAACACAGCTACTTAAGTCTGGGCACCCCTCACTCAGGATTCAACTGTGAAAAGCCCCACTGAGAAATAAACAAGTGCTCAATTTAGGGAGCTCTGACCATCTTCCTGGGAAGGACCGTTCTGTTCCAGTGTCTTCCAGAGGGCACAGTGCTATGTGGTTCTGCGTGTCGTGACCCCCTAGGAGTGTCAGGTTGTCTCGGCCACAGAAAAGAGTCCCAGGGAGTTCAGCTGTAGCCCCTTAGATGACAGCGTGGCCTTGAGAGAAAGAGGCTGCCTCTCGTCATCCTTTTCTGCCATGAAAGGATGGTGTTCCATGTATCCGTTTTAATGGATCTTTGTACATTCTTTGATATTTTTGGAGATGAGCGCTCAGGCCTGAGCAGTTGGTATTTTCCTTTCTGGTGCTCCTGGAAAATAGGGATCAAGAGGTGAGCCGGGGAATAGTACTCACATAAGCTCTGCACCCCTTTGGCGGAAGCCCCCATAAGTCCTGATTCTGTTGCTGCAGGCACAGAGTCTGATGGGAATAAGGAGCCATGAGGCTTTTCCCGAGGATATCCTCCATTTGCTATGTCTGCAGTTTCTCACTCCCTTTGCAGCTAATTATTCCCTTGGCCTGATCCAAACTCCCAAAGGCAACCTTCCCAGAAATCCCCAGTACCTCATCACCAGCACTTCAGAGAAAACGGCTTGTCTTACTTAATTACACCACAGAAAACTGGGGACGTCCCCAGCTCACCATCCCCTGGCTGCTGGTATTTGGCTCAGTTGCTGTGGATTAACCTGTTGTTTTCTCTCCATCCCAATCTGAGTGACGGACCTGGAGGCAAACTTGGAATGGAAACAGCAGAAATCGTGTTCTTTTGAGAAATTCCTCCAAGTGAAAGGAAAGGGGAAGACGGGGATCCCTTGTAATTTAAGTAAATCATTCTGGCAGTCTTACTTCACCAGCTGCTTTGTTGGGCTGTGCAGGATTTGATGTCTAGGAGAGAATCTGGGATGTACTTAACCTTTTCTCCTTCCCCAAACAGTGCTTCCCCAAGCTCCTTCCATGACAACCTGGGCTTAACTTCTTGGGGCGAGAACCCTGCTTTAGAGGAAGGAGGACTGAGAAGGAATAGACCCAGGTCCTATCAAGATGGTGGAGGCCCAGGCACCATGGTTGAGATACCCCCAGTCCTACACACTTCTCATAATATCCTCCACATGCTGCTGAAACCACAAGACTGAGTGTGGTTTAGATTTGTCATTGTTGGGGGCTCTCAATGGTCCCCACCTCCTTGAATCATCTAAAGCCCAACCCTACTGTGAATCATCCCATTCTCCCTCCACCTTGGGCAGAGGTGGTGACCACACTGCCTTAGGCCCTAGTGCCTTGATGAGCTGTTGCATCACTATGCCAGAATCAGTTGACTGTTGCTGAGCAGTGTGGAATCTGGCACAGGGGGAGGGGAGGCAGGAACCTATCACCACAGACTTCAGCACTCCACAAATTTACCCAAAAGGCAGCCTGAGCTCTACATGCTCACATGGAAGGAAAGTTTATCCCTATTCCCCACTGGAATTAAATCCCTTGCTCTGTTTCTCCAATTTTCCAGCTATTACGTACACTCCTGCAGGAGCTCCCTAAGTCCTAACATCCACTGATTTCCCACACACACCTCCTCCTGCCTTGGCCAACACACTCCACTCTGTCCCGAGGCCCCCTTTCCCCTCCCAGCATCCCCCTGGAGCTCCTGGGCTGTGGTTGAGTACCCTGGTCTGGCACCAGACTGCCTCAGTTAAAATCCAGGCTCCAACATGTGAGAGCTA